TTGCCAGTATCTAATGGCCTAAAGAACAGCTTGTTACTACAAGTTTAACACTTGGTCTGTTTCTCTTCTCAGTTGTTCATTATTTTAATGACAATCATTTAAACTGTTCCATGATTAACTTGACTGCTTCCATTTTGTATTGTGGATATAAAGTATTGATAAATTTCAAGGTGTTGCCTTGTAAAGAGTCCAGTATCATGTTTATTGCATAAACCATGCTTTGCATGACTATATCTAGCATGTATTTTATTATAGATATGGGTCGTCTATTGCATTTTATTCTCCTAATGATTGTACTGTAATATGTTAGAATCGATCTGAGGCGTTGAACAATTTCCCCCAGCATTTATACAAATGTACGTAGAATGTAGCTGGTGAAACAAACAAGAACTGTTGATAATTTGACCCAACATTTGGATAGAGGGAATATGAAGTTATAAAGTTAAAACAACCCAGAAATGTTATCACTTTGATCCAGCATTTGGGTACAGAAAATAAAAAATATGTTTGTTTAAATTTATTAAAAAAAAATTGTGGTTAATTCGACTCAGAATGTGGTTGGAACATTATAACCTATTTGTTGGGTTAAATGTTAACCCATTTCGCTGGGTCAAATCAACCACTGTACTGCTGGACCGGTGCTATAGTAGCCCAGCAGCTGGGCGGGAAAAAAGGGAAATTAAGGGAAACAGAAAAATTAGGATTAGGAGTGGGAGTGCATTAGGAGTGCATCTCTAACAGTATTCTTAGTTTAGTTAATAAATATAATGCGAATTTTAGGAAAACTAAAACTCTCCTTAATGAAACGCATTTTCTATTCCAAATTTAGGATGTTTCATAAAGATTTGCAATAACACAACCGTAGAGGCTGCTGCAAATCTTTAAAATGAAAAACAAAACAAGATATAACATGTTAATTACAGAGCAACTCATGTGGTAACCTATATTTTCATGAATTGAAAATCATAAGGAGACAGAGAGGGTGAATTTAGCTACACTGAATCAGCTGATAAATATTGTGATGGCAGCAAACAAATGTGCCGGTAGGATAATAAGGACAAATAACTACTTTAATATTTTGTACTTTGAGAAAAGTTGTTTGTTTGAAGAAACCAGTGATGCTGAAAAACAATATAATCACAACTCCTAAAAGACATCTTTGGCAGTTTGAAGAGGTATCACATTAAACTTCAATATGGGTTTTTAAGTATCATCATAATTTGGCACATTTTAAGCTGAAGCCCATTTATTCATTCTACAGGCTGCAAATATAACAGCATAAAGCCAATAACTCTAGGTCTAGTTTTCAAAGCAAGGGACACACTGTGCCTACTGATCTTGCACCTACAATAAATGCAAATATTATTGATGGCTATTATGTAAAACAGCTTTGAAAGAACAAACTTACGGCTGCCATTGTTGGATGAGAGTGTAGTTCTGATCTGGAAGTCTGGGAAGCTGGAAAAGAAAAATCACAAATAAATAATAATACACACAAGAACAAAAGGTTATAGCAAACAAAGAGGAAGCAATCCCCAGAGGTAATAACACAGAGCAGGTTTAAGGGTATCCCTTTTTAACCTTTGATTAATATTTTATTTGGTTTATTATCTGCCAGAGGGTTTCCATCACACTCATTAGATCATGAGCTCTCCTGTGTCTCATTTCAGAGCTGGTGTTGCATGAGCTAAGTGTTTATTTGTTTGGACACACCTGTAATTACTCCAGGGGGGATTTACTCCCATCTGCTTGCAAAGAGCCACTATTTTGAAACGTATTAGGAAAACACCTCATAGCACACATTTTGGTTAGTGTACAGATGCATAGCTAGAGAATTTTAATCAGGGTGATCAGGCAATAACCAGTGGCCGAAAGCAGATAGGCACCAGAACCTCAGGGTCAATTTCCAATTCAATTTCAATTCAATTCAGTTTATTTATACAGCGCCAATTCACAACACATGTCATCTCATTCACATACACTGTTCCAAAAGGAAAATTAACAACCACAACATCTATATTTCCTAAATAAAGACTAACTATACTTTCCTACAGCCTTTGCTAACAAATTGATGCATATATATAAACATCCATGCTGTCTAAAGTAAAGGTCTAGAGCACAAAATTCTTTCAAGTTTGAGTTCTGATGTGAAAATCTTAATCATTGTCACTACTTACATACTTTTTCCAATAATTCTTCTACATAAATTTATATTTAGATGTACTAACGTCTATATTATATGGATTACTTATTATTAAAGTAGTTATTTATCTCTGATTTCACTGAAGACTCATAGTTGACTTGCAGATAAATCTTTACCCCATTAAACAAAATCTAGTTCTGAAAAGAGCATGAATTCTGTATTTATCATCTTGAATGTTAGTATATGGATGTGCATATTTAACCACAGTGTTTTTGTTGTCAAGTAACTGTTAACAGATGAAAGATTACAATGTTAAATAATTTAGAACATTCCACTTGAGAGTATTACTCCTGCCACCATCTGTATTAGAGAGGGGGGGAAATGGAAGGGTGGCCACCCCTGGCCCCCCATCTCGTTCCGCCCCTGGTAAAATGACCAAACACTAAAAGTTTCTGTTACTGAAAGCAAAATAGGACTGAAAAATTCTCCAATAGGATGGAGACATGTACTATTCACTGTGGTTTGAACTCAAACCGACAGACTTTGTGGTGTAAATATTTCACTAATCATGTGACTTAAACAATCAGCAGAAAATCAGGAAGAAAAATAATGATGTAAGAAAACACAACCCGACTCCAAAGAGATCCTGCTGTCTATTCAAATACATGCAAACGTCTGTGGTACATTTAGTTTAAAGGAAAAAGCAACAATTTAAAAATACCTCTGTTTGAACATATTGCATTTACAATGGCTTCAAACTTCGCCCTTTGGACAGCAGTTTGATGATATTCTGATTTCCAAATGCAGCGAATTTACTGGTAAGTAAGCAATAGTGATAATCTGACTTAAAGCGAAACTAAATAACCAAGTTGTGGCGGCAGTTTCTTTGTATTCATAACGGCTGCAGAAATGTAATTAGGCTTTGCTGGCCCTTTAAACAGTTGACTTAAAGACAAAACGTTGCGGAAAGTGTATGAGGAAGAAGAAAACGGTAAAGTTGGCAGAGCCGTTTGGGCACACCCTATGAGAAAAACGACGTCCTGTTAGGAGAAAGAAAGAAACAGAGAGGAGAAACTTTGTCTCACCTCTTCTGGGAGAGTTTGCTGCCCGTTCTGGGAGAGCTTTCTGTCTGGAGCACGGTAGGAAGGTAGAGACACAGGACAGATACACTCTGTAGGTTTTTAACTAGAGCTCTGCTCTCGGACCACCCATTTATGCGCGTGAAGGTTACAGCTCGTGCGCAATCATCGAAGTGAGTTTACTTTCTTCGACTGTAGGTGTCGCTGTTGCACGCCAAATACATCAACGTTAACAAGTCTGAATGAAGGCCATTCATGGTTACCTTTTTTTCCCCTCCTTATTTTGTTTTACAATATTTGCTTTCTCTTAAATTAAAATTCATGCTTTTTCTGATTGGTTATATTTTCACCTTTTGTAGGTTCTTATTTGGATTTAGATCTTTGCTTTGACTGAGTCATTTAAACGGTCAAAGTTTGTTTAAATTATGTATATTAATATGCTTGGATATAAATAGTTAGGTGTCGCTCCAGATGTAGATGTGTACGTTTAGGGTTTTCCTGCTGAAAGGTGAGACACTAGTGTCAAACATTTTAAAACCACAGGGGTCCCTGGGGCCCAGGGCCGGATCCACTTTGGGGTGGCTGGCTGCCGGCAGAGACCGCGGACTTATCCCCGCGGTTCCCTGGTGCTCGGGCATAGCGGTGGCTGGGGGACTTCCTCGGGGCCATCTCTCTTCCACCTTTGGTGGGGGTCGGATTTCCTGGGTTGGCCCCTCCTGTGGGCCTTTGCTCTTTGGGTCCCCCAGCGCTTGCCTCGGTGCTCTAGGGAGGTGCGTCCTCGGCTCTTCACAACCACTATTGAGCATTTTTCCTTTGGATAAACTTTAAATGCACAAGTGCACTCTCACAAACAACTACAGGTGCTCGGTTCCTGTTACTTAGAGTTTCACTTCCATACAGAAAGCCCATATTCTTTTCTTCAGCTACCACTGTATACATGTCAGATTAGATAATACTTATACTTCAGCGATAGTATCTAGGTGTTACTTTATTGTATCTCTTATACTATATCCATTTGTTGTGCTGTTCTTTTTACGTCTCTTTGCATGTGATGAAGCAGACTGAAGATGTTTTATCGTTTTCTCCCTTTTATCTCCTCTATTATCTCCTCTTTCTTTCATCTTTTCTCCTTTTTTTCTGTTTTTCCTTTCCTGTTCTACTTAAATTGCAGTGTCCATATAATCTGTAATACTCCCTGCATGATTTATAATAAAGCTATTTATATGCATAAATCACCACCATTAGCCATGGCCACCCCTGGCCCCCCATCTAGCTCCACCCCTGTAGTAATGTCATTATTATGCCACCTGTGATTTTTAAAAAAAAAAAGGATCTCTTCACCTGTGTCCCCTATTTATAAGAGAGCAACAAACCTCTCCTGTAAACGATATCTCACTGAGAATATCTGTATACAAATTTTTATTTAAAAAAAAATCTTACTGTAGATTAATTTGTCTGCTGAATAAATGATTTGATTAAGAGTTAGATTTTTCTAAGTTGCTTACTGATATATTCTGCCGCTGCAAAAGCAAGTTTTACTTTTTGGGGGGCCTCTTTATATATTCTTAACCATGGTTGCTAGTAGGTAGGGCTAATACAGTATGTCTATTATTTCTACACGTGAACAAAAAAGTAAACAGCTACAATAAAATAATTAATTTCAATAAGAAGAATTAAGAAAAATAACACAAGTATGCCAAACACATTCAAAGGTGTTTACCTGGAAAAAAGTCTTGTGTATCTATTTGCAAGAATTAACATATAATTAAAGGCTTACAAGAAACAACACAAAACCATTATATGAGGTCAAAGATAAGGTGTAAGATGGTAACTTGTTTTCCCCAAATGTAAATGGAATGAAACAGAAAAGACCATGTAGAAAAAATAAGAAAGTAGAAAACATTCATGCCACACAATAAAGCTGTCATTCAACTGTTGGAAAGTGGTATGAATGCCCAATTTTATCACTCAAAATGTTCTTTGCATTTCTCTGTATTTCTCAATATCTCCCTCCTTTATTGCCATTCTCACTTATAAGTTGCTGATAATGAAATCCCTATAGCGCTTTATGGTATATAATGTAATAAAGATGTACATCACTTTACATCAGAAAGAAATCGATTGCAATAAGCCAGGAATGAGATTCAACAGTTCAAAAGTCTGAGCAACTGGACTAAAAGACATCTTTAGAAAAAACTAAATGTACCATTAAATTTAAAATAATTGTTTAATACACCATTAAACAATTAAATGTAATATTTTGTTATTAAAAGTTAAGTTCACCACATCACACCATTTTCATTTTTAATCATTTACCATTTGCCATTATGAATGTGGTATTTACCCATAAATATAATTGTGTTGCCCATTTTACAGAATTCATCCTGTAGACTCTCACTGTCATAAAATATTTGCTTTTTGTAAAAGTGTGTACATTCTATCTATGAAATTTTCAACCAGTTCTGTAATTCTTCCCAAAACTATTCAATAACTTGGGAAAAGTAAAAGTTTTCTATTGTTTTTTCTTCCATAGACCAGAAAACACATTCACAAACATCTGATTTGATTGCAGTTATAATGTGTTGAAAGAGACCTCCGTATGATGTTTTAACCCTTGTTCATAGCGAATTTCAAACTTTAATTTGTATTAGACCATACAGTTATGTGAACTATAGGTTTTTACGGTAAGTTCTACATATTTGTTGTACATATATATTTGGCTCTTACTTCTTACAATGGTGGTGGATAAGGATACTTCCCTCTAAAGAAGAATACTTCTTGGGTTGTTTTATTTTTTGTATTTATTTTATTTTTGAGTTCCCTGTCTTGCTGCTACCACATGATAATTTCCCATTTTGGATTCAATGAATGAATGAGTCAGTCAGTCAGTCAGTCAGTCAGTCAGTCAGTCAGTCAGTCAGTACCAACTTTGAATGAATATGCCTTGTTTCTACTCGTGGTAATAACTCTATCTTTCCACAAGGTGGGGCTGTATGGCCTAAAAGTAAAGGGAAACACCAACCTTCAATATTGAGATACTTGCTTGTGATATTTAGAAAGCTGGATCAGCAAATTAGAAATCTCAAAATCAAATTTTAAAGTAATTACAAACTTCCAACTTCATCAAAAAATGTTTTTGAGGATAAGAACCATAAACAATCAGTTTTAGACCGAAAGGCTTTTTTGCACTTGATTTAAATGATAGATTCAAAGTCAGTTGTTTTTAATTCCCCTTTATAATATTAGTACACGGTTTACTTATTTATTTATTTATTTATTTTTTTAATAAAGTGAATGTTAGGTTTTGCCATATAGATTGATCAATTATACTGTTTGCTTTTTTGGTGTTATGTTAACTAATATGCAAGGAATATCTTGGGTACACCAATTAGGACAGACCTTTAGATTTTGACAGAATGTTAAATCTCAGATTAGTTAGGTCTTCTATTAATTAGGGATTGAGATCTTTTTTATTATTTCTTCAAGTCTGTCATTTTTATTTTTGGATTGTCTTGTTCCCACATTTTTTATTAACCTGATTACAAAATATTTGAATTGACTCTTGACAGGAATCAACATCATGCCTGTATTACTGTTGTCATATGGGGAGCATTTCACATTGTTTTTTTTAAGATACAATCCCTTCATATTAATCTCAGAAAAGAAAACAGAGATTCTATTTAAGCCTTTGGAAGAATTCTTTTTTTTTTTTTTTTTTTTTTTTTGAGAAATCACTGTATCATCTTTAAATTGACTCTTCTTAAACTTACTGTAGTATTAAATATTTATATACTTTCTACATCTTTGTCATTTATTTTAAAATTAGCAAATAGCTGTACATAGAGAATAAATAGTGTTGGTGAGATTTGGCATCACTGATTAACTGTAAAATATCCTTATTGTCCTTGTTAGGATAGTTATCATTGATGATGTGTGAGTTTATTACACCCTAATATTACCTGTCTGTTGTGTGTCAGAATGAATGTTTTCCCCAGTAGTTTATCTATTTAGGACAGTTCCTCTGTCCAGATATACAGTTATCATCTTCATTTTGTACATGGCAAAGATTTGGGAATGGAATGAGAAAAGTGTCCTTCAGCTAAGAATAAAGTGTAATATTTTGATAAGGCTTAAGGCATGGATGTCTCCTCATCTTCAAACATGTATGATGTGATGATGTGGCAGACTGGAGATGTATAAAATGCTTCTCAAACTTTTTATTGGGGCCCACTGCACGAGATGTGAGCCCGGTTGGAAAGCGTTGCCTTCTGTAACTGAAAGCAACTTCTCTGATCTTATGTCAGTAAGATTAGAATTTCTATCAAAATATGTTGTCATGTCTCATGGTTATTTAATGCATATACATTATGAAGTGTTATTTAAAGAGCTGGTCCTGAGTGATCTCTTTTCAGGAAAAACAACACGAGAGAGAAAGCTTCAAGGTGTAAACGCAGAGCTTTCCTTTAACACCCTTTAGCAATTATGTAATCAATTCAGCTTTCATTTTTTGGGATTGTGGACTCTGTTTATACACTCCAAATATGAGTTAAATGATGTTTATACACTCCAAATATGAGTTAAATGATAAATGCTTTATCTCTTACCAAAAAGTCTTAAAAAACTCAGTAGATATGTTGTCAGTGCTGAGTCTCAATACTTTTCAATTATCACAGAGCAAGTTTATTGTAAAGAAA